AACACAACTACAGATACATCGTTGTTCTCGCCGTTCTTGTTATGAATGATTCTGTTTCGTTTCAAGGCAAACCCCTTTTCAGATTATGCGACTCTTCATTGCTACAAAAAATCACTGTCGGATGATTAACAGTTCGAATATTTTTCCAAGTAGAGTTACGTCATTGCTGCTGACACTTTCGTGATTTGTAGCATATATGACAGTCTGATTCCAGAAGGCTTTGAGAGCAACTTAGTCATCTGCGGGACGTGATCTGAACATTGGCGTATGTATAGATAAACCACTGGACGATTAAATAAAAAATCATACACTGCTATAGAAGAAAATGAAGAGAATAACGTCGAGATTTGTTGAAAATGTATTGCAAATTGCAAAAAGTAAAGCGTTTTGGGATCGCTGAAGGATTTTGATTGAACATATCCTCTTATCCATAGAAGATTGTATCAATAAGCCATTCCTGGCTGCTTTAGTAATGTCAGCGCAGCTTTCGTCGTACTCCTTTCTGTAGATTTTACTGGCTGCTTAAATATAAAAACTGCACCTATAATTAAGACGACGTATTGTTTTATCACAAATTAACCTATTAAATAGACATAAAATAAATCATGTCAACCATAATTAGCTAATTTAATGACATGAATGGCTTTATTATGAGCTTAGACATGTTCATTATTGTGCGTTTAAAACTCGCAGTTAACACAAACAAATCAAAGTCACAAAAAAGTTTTTTGTCCTTGTGATTGAGATTTTTACTCCAAGCAAATTACACCAGATATCTCATTTAGCAAAAGTTAAACCCTCTTAGGAAAACATTAGCTTCGAACGTGCACAACAGGAAAATTAAATGGATCAAGTCAATCAAACAGGCCCATAAAATTAGTCCACAACCATTATTTCCCTACCCTACCGGCATTTACTGCCAAGAGAGCAAAATTTGGAAATCCGATTCCCTACTTTGCCGTTGGATAGAAAAGGTTGATCCCATCATGGACACGTACCCCTTATACCCATAGGGTATAGATAAAAGAGCTGACTTTCTCTCCATGTCAGAGAAACTTTGCCTCACTAAAACGATTTGTAGCTTTCGGCCTGACTCCCAACTGCTTCTGTTCCTCTTAGTTCATTCGAACTTCGTTCTAGCAGTTGAAACGTCAAAGCACCAGATTATTATGATATCCATATCAGGCGTGAGTTCCATGCGGTAGGAAGCTACCGTTCCCCCGGTTATGGACATGGATGTGACTTCCCTGCGGTAGGATGCTATCATTCCCCTATGCAATGTTTTGTAATGTCTGATAATACAACTGAGAAATACAAGGTGTCCGCAAAGTTGGGGTTTTCCTTTTCGGAAACAATTACCCTTGAAATAACAAAGGTAATGTGTAGTGAAACGAGGGCGACCAATTAAAAAAAATAAAGGAGAAAGTACTCACTCTCCAGTTGACGAGAAGGGCTAAGTACGCCTCTGCCCGAAATCATACCGCTCCAACAGAAAATGAAATCAGCTGATGCGCTACCGAGCAGACGCAGGCAAACAAGGAAGGCAAAATGTTGCATAAAAAGTCTAGGTCTAGGTTCACCATGCCAGCCCAAACATTCACCGAAAATGTTTGTTGAAAATGTGCCCGACGGAGAGCGTGCGGATTTTCTACTGACCAAACATGAGTGTTGCGAAAGTTATTCACCCCATTACGCATGAACGTAGATTCGTCTGTCACTAATATGCATTTCAAACTCACGCAGAATCATACGGGTAAATCTGCGCTGACGAACATTTATGTTTTGATCCCTTTGGAGATTTCAAAAACCATTTTCAATTATTTGGCGATGCACTCTTACAAATACTGAGCGAGTTGGATGTCGTCTGTTTGGAAATCTTCGTGCGTATTCTCTGGCTGCTTCTGCTGCGTTTCCATTTACAAAGCCATACACAAAATGAATATCCGCTAACTCTTGATTGAAGAATAAAAATGGCGATTTTATAAAACATACAAAAAAAACAGGTAAAAGAAACTAAATTTCGTGCATTCACAATTGCAAAAAAACGTTTCAGGTTTCAACAGACAACAAAACTAACTGTCAACTAGTTGACGTTTAACGTTATTCTGCTTTCATTTTTTTCATTTCAAAAATATTTGCAGGCACAGCCTACTTTTAAAAATTATGGAGATACTGACTTCTTAACGTTATTTTCCCATAAATAATGAAAAATGCATCGAACCTTAAAAATCGAAATATCTCAAAAACGGCTAACTATAATGAAAATTCACATGAGAGCTTTTTTATGTTGAAAGGTGCGAAGAATCGGTTTTTTTATTCAAAAAGCAAAAAATTGCACTAAGAAAAGATTTTAGGTCATTTTAATACACTACAGGTACAGTAGAGAGCGCCCTCTAGCGGCTACAGTAAAACTATGCCCATGGTTCGTTTTGTCGTACCAAAAAACCCCTGTATACCAATTTTCACTGTTATACATCAAATATTGTTCGAAATATTTAAAAAAAACTATTTTAGAAAGTAAATTTAAACACCCTGTATTTCGGAAGCCACGCATTTTTCGACCCATGTTTATATAGACTTTATGCATTAATTTTAAAAGTTCTATCGAATCTTAAAGTTATGCAACAATAAACTGAAACACCCTGTATACGGGTTTCCATTATAAGTAAGTTCATTATAAGTGGATTCCGCTGTAATATTATATTGTTTTATAATCAGTATCAAGACAGCTAATTTACTAAATGAATTGACGGTAGAGTGGTGCATACCGTGACTTAGGACAACTCTCCTTGAAGCTCTTGTTAAATTGTTTATGTAGTACTCGTAATAAAAGTGAAAAGGTGCAGGGTAGTACTTCGTACGCTTGTCAGGTGCAATTGTTGTTTTCTCATGTTTATCATCGTCTGAAACGGGTTTCTACCGCTTCCGATTCTCTCTGATCTAATTCTCCTTCATGTAAGAACTTTTCGGAAGTATACCTCGAGAACTGATCAAAATAAATGTAGTATGCGACGCTTATGCATTGTAATATCGTACAGGTTATTTTGGTGTGTGATCTACAACTCCAACGCACAATTTGTTCTGTTATGGTATATTTATGCATGAAACATTGTTTAGTCACATTACAAAGGTGACGATACGCTTTCCGATCCTGTCTGTATAGGTAATCGCAACACTAGCCAAACCTAAAATAAATAAATACAGAAAGCCATGAATCACTTTCAGTTCAGAATAATCACTACTCACATCCCTGAATTATGTCAATATTTTCCTAGTTTCACCTGATTCTTGACACGTAGTGAAAAAATTGGAAGGGTCACAATAATTCTAAAAATCTCAAAACTTGTCAACTTTTTAGTTAGTTTGGGGCAGTAGACAAAAAATAACGAGTCAGCAAGTTTTTAGTGTCCAAAGTTTTAATAGATGTATATTCAAGAATCCATGGTTATCTATATAGATAAATGGAACCAGATATCGAGGTCTCAGTCCTGTCAGAATTTCGTTATAATTTTACACTGCCATTCAAAAGTGGTTTAAGGTAAATCGACTTCCAATGCAGTCCTTTGGGAGCCTACATCTTCGTATACTAGCTCATTTTTTGTTCCATTTGACCCAGAAAGATTACGTCTCATATTCTGGGACACCTTGTGTAGTAACAAAATAGTATGTTGGTATGAATTTGAAGTGATTGATGCTTCAACACTGTGCAAGAAAAATGTCAATTCATTGATAAGCATCTGGTTTCAAAAGCAAACCTGACTAGATCCTCAGTATTATAAATTATCTCTCATGATATCCAAACATTTGTTTGAGGTGGTGCTTGCGTTTAGATACAATTTTCAGAAGTTTATATACAGGGTGGCCCAACGAAAAGATCGCACCCCTATTTGTGACCCTTCTGGTACATTTTGAGAAAAACGCTCAGACAAGTCAATTTTGATTTCTAGAGGGACGTCTTTACATCCATAGTCGTACAATACAGAGTGATCCAACAATAAGAGTTTTAAGCTTTATTATACAACACTTACTAAAAACTTCATGGAGAATCTAAAAGTTAAAAAAATGGTGATTTCCATTTAAATACGTAAAGTATAACGTAATATCTTATTTCACCCTGTTTTGTACGGATATAGATGAAAAGACGTCCTAGAAATCAAAATTGACGTGTCCGAGCGTTTTTTCCCAAAATATACCGGGATAGTCACAAGTGAAGGTGCCACCTTTTCGTTGGGCCAACCTGTATATTGAAATACACACTGCTTTGTGAAGCATAAATTAAATTTACGTTGCCGCATATTTTGCAATATTTGAGGAGTAATTTGAAGGCACTCATTCACAATTCTTTGTCGCAGGTCTTCTAATGATGTTGGCTGAGTAGCATAGATTTTGCTTTTTATATGTCCCCACATAAAGAAATCCCAAGGTGATAAATGTGGCGATCTTGGGGGCCATTTAATGGCACCTCTTCTACCAATCCATCGATCTGGAAACGTCTGATCTAAATATTGTCGAACACGTAATGGGTAATGTGGTGGGGCACTATCCTGTTAGAACATCAACCTATTCGCAATGTACCGCCGATCATTCTGATTTTCAATTATGACTGTTAATGCAGGATCTATGGCGTTTAATAATTGATATACACATATAATTGATTGTTAGTTATTAAGATATAAGCCACACACAGGCGATGCGTTCTGTGGTTTCTTCATATTTGTTGGCCATTTTTTGTATTTTGGCGAATAAATATTATTATTATTATTATCTGGTTCCCGAGATAAGTTCTATACCACTGTGAATCTTCAAGAGTATATTGAGGTACTTGGTATGGATACCGAATATCCACCCACGTACTGTCCGATTTTATTTCTCCTATGCATGTTGTACGTGGTTACGTGACTTTCTGTTATGGAGAAGCTTTATATCCAATTGTCAGGCTGCTAGCACCTTAACGTCGACGAAGACTAACTACAATAGCTAATAGGTTATTTTTCTCTTAGATGTTACAGATGGAGTGCTGGTTTCAGAGAAGGAAAAAGAACCAGACATATTGATCATAAAAGAAATAGATCCTTGTATAAACATCAACGGAGGTCTCCATCACACCTCGAAATATGAGCTGATGAACAGAGAAATTGACCCGCAGCTGGTTGTTAGAAGAGGACAAAACTTTACCCTGAAGCTTATCTTGAATAGACCTTATGATGAAGAAAGAGACGGGGTTTCGTTCATTTTCACTGTGGAAGGTGGGTAAGCCAACAAGAATGAAAATAAGAGGTACTCATTCATCTAAATAAGTGATAAAAACATTAGGTATAACTAGGGTGTGAGGTACATATGCCGTGATAAAGTTTGATCCTTCGCTAATATCTATTTTTTCTGACTGTCTGAAATATACTAAGTGACATATAAATCCGAACACAGTTTAAATGGTTTTATTTTAATAAAATTTTGTATAAGTACTTAATGAAGCATAATAAGTAAATGATAAAATTTCAAAATGATTGAACTGCTTCAAAGCCCTTTCTGATCAGGTGGTCAATGTCCTCCTGTGGTATCTCATTCCAGGCAACCACCAACTCCTCTCGAAGTGCTTCTAGAGTCTGAGGAGGACGTTGCAAATTGAGCAATCTCCTACCCATCATATCCCACACGTGCTCAATTGGGGATAAGTCGGGAGATCTTGGTGGCCATGGTAACAATGTGACATCATTATGTTGAAAGAAGTCTATTGTGACTCTTGCAACATGTGGTCGGGCATTATCTTGTTGGAAAGTTGGATCTGCCAGGGTGTCAAGATAGGGTAAAAGATGGGGTTCTAGAACTTCGTGGATATAACGCTGCGCGTTTATGTTACCTCTGATGAAGATTAAAGGTGACCTGGAACCATAAGCTATAGCACTCCAAACCATAACTCCAACAGTGTGATGAACATGTCTTTCAACAAAAAACTGTGGATTCCTCGTTTCACCACGTCGCCTTCTAACCCTGCCACGACTATCGTGCATGCCTAAACAAAATCGAGACTCGTCACTAAAGACAATACTGTTACATTCCTGATCCCAGAGTGACCGTTGTCTGCACCACTCAAGGCGATTACGTCGGTGTTCTCGAGTTAAAGGGAGGACCCAGTGTGGCCGGTATGAAAACAAGCCAAAACTTCTCATTCGTCGGTAAACACTTCGCATGCCAATAGGTCTTCCGTGTTCTGCAAACCATTCATTTGCAATGGACTTGGTAGTGGAGAAACGGTCCCTTAATGCCAATAATCTTAGGCGGCGATCTTCACGGTCTGTTGTTCTACGGCGGCGTCCAGTGCACCTTGCTCTTTGCGTACGGCCTTCTCGAAGCCATGCCTGACAACACCTAACCACAGTGTCTACATTTCTTTGCACTCTAACTGCAATTGCCCGAAAAGAAAGTCCAGCTTCCCGAAGTCCCACTATACGACCACTATTAAACTCACTAAGTTGACGAAATCGTACAGGTCTCCGTACTCTAGGCATCGTAACCGATCGTAAAGGATGTCAAGAACCTAAGGGAAGAAAAGGCTAAGAAAATCAAGGAGGCCATAAAGGAACGACTGACGATACAGCCCATAGGTAAAATTCGTTAATCAATGATAAATCTCAGATACAATCTTTGATCATTACCAAAGCTCCGTTGTAATATAATTTCTAGACGAAGAGAAGCCTTCACATGGAAATGGTACGATGGTAGCTGTCCCGCTTTTGAAGAAAACTGACAGACACCTGCCATGGAACGTAACCATAGACGGCACAGATGGCAATACCCTGTCTGTTCAAGTGAAACCAGCACCGGATAGCGTGGTGGCCAGATGGAGAATGGATGTGGACACAAAACTGATTGACAATGGAGCGTACAGCTACAGTTGGACAACAGGTAACGTGGGGTTGCAAATAGACGATACGGGAATTATACGCGGACTCCTGTTCTCTTAAACTTAGCTTTTTTTGGGGCGGGGGGGGCATGGTCTGGACATGAGCAAATTTCCAGTTTCAATCTGCTTGGCCACCGTCCAGAAACCCCGACTGCGCCGCGACATTTCCCCGTGCCTAATTGTTACGAGGGATCTCTTTTAAGTTTTGCATATATACTAAGTGACATATAAATCCGAACACCCAGTTTAAATTTTATTTTAATAAAATTTTGTATAAGTACTTAATGAAGCATAATAAGTAAATGATAAAAATTTCAAAATGATTGCACTGCTTTAAAGCCCTTTGACCTTTAATAATGTGTGGATGCACCCTGATATGCTACGCATTCTCCAACGCGCCTAGGCATGCTTCTGATCAGGTGGTCAATGTCCTCCTGTGGTATCTCATTCCAGGCAACCACCAACTCCTCTCGAAGTGCTTCTAGAGTCTGAAGAGGACGTTGCAAATTGAGCAATCTCCTACCCATCATATCCCACACGTGCTCAATTGGGGATAAGTCGGGAGATCTTGGTGGCCATGGTAACAATGTGACATCATTATGTTGAAAGAAGTCTCTTGCAACATGTGGTCGGACATTATCTTGTTGGAAAGTTGGATCTGCCAGGGTGTCAAGATAGGGTAAAAGATGGGGTTCTAGAACTTCGTGGATATAACGCTGCGCGTTCATGTTACCTCTGATGAAGATTAAAGGTGACCTGGAACCATAAGCTATAGCACCCCAAACCATAACTCTAACAGTGTGATGAACATGTCTTTCAACAAAAAACTGTGGATTCCTTCTTTCACCACGTCGCCTTCTAACCCTGGCACGACCATCGTGCATGCCTAAACAAAATTGAGACTCGTCACTAAAGACAATACTGTTCCATTCCTGATCCCAGAGTGACCGTTGTCTGCACCACTCAAGGCGATTACGTCGGTGTTCTCGAGTTAAAGGGAGGACCCAGTGTGGCCGGCATGAAAACAAGCCAAAACTTCTCATTCGTCGGTAAACACTTCGCATGCCAATAGGTCTTCCGTGTTCTGCAAACCATTCATTTGCAATGGACTTGGTAGTGGAAAAACGGTCCCTTAAGGCCAATAATCTTAGGCGGTGATCTTCACGGTCTGTTGTTCTACGGCGGCGTCCAGTGCCCCTTGTTCTTTGCGTACGGCCTTCTCGAAGCCATGCCTGACAACACCTAACCACAGTGTCTACACTTCTTTGCACTCTAACTGCAATTGCCCGAAAAGAAAGTCCAGCTTCCCGAAGTCCCACTATACGGCCCCTATCAAACTCACTAAGTTGACGAAATCGTACAGGTCTCCGTACTCTAGGCATCGTAACCGATCGTACAGGATGTCAAGAACCAAAATCCGCCAACCTTGATTCTTTACTGCGGCTGAAATATTCATTTTTAGAGCGTTAGAGAATTAAAAAAAAGCAGTATAAAAAGCGGAATGTCCAACTGATAAGGCTGAAAATTTTTTCACTTGTTATTTAGAGTAAGATAAATACATTCACCAACTTTTATTAAAATAAAACCATTTAAACTGGGTGTTCGGATTTATATGTCACTTAGTATAAATAATGGTGGAGGCACGTCTTCTTCATGAATGTGCATCGCTATCCAGCCCCAAAATTGATCATGTCCAAAGTTTGTTATAATCAAAGGTGTTCTGCATTTACAGGCATCTATATCATCTTCAATCCATGGTGCAAACTGGACCAAGTGTACATGAAATCAGATGAATGGAAAGAAGAAGCGGTGCTGAATGAATCAGGAATGATGTGGAGAGGAACGTACAATAGAGTCAAACCGGTAATTTGGAAGTATGATCAATTTGAGAAAGACATTTTGGATTGTTCGCTCTACTTGGTACGCGAAATCGGAAATGTAAGGAGCAATTTCAGAGCAGATCCTGTCCATATCACGAGGTAAAGGGTGTTCATATCTCAAAATACAATTCTCGAAAAAAAAACTTCGTATTATATTTTTATCCACGTCATACTAGGTTTCATTATTTGAACATTTTTTGTGAAGACCCACTGGTATTGATGCCCTAATATACAAAAACTAACTGCAACTTTATTTTTTGCCCTGTTCGAACAAATTAGGAAGCAAAAGGATCATTTAAATAAAAAAATTCAGAGTCTTTTTGAGAGTTACGAAAAAATTCTACTATAACACTCGACAACAAATTTTAGTTTTTTAATTGTATCTGGTGGGAAAAGTGCACTTCTTTGTTAATTTTGGGGCGCTGAATCCAAAAATGACAATGAAATAAAAAAAATAGTTGCAGTTTAGAAAAAAAACTTTTTATTTTTAAGGATATATTAAAAAAGTAAGATTCATATACTTATCACTATATGCGCTATCTTTTTGCTGTTCTTTTACGGATCGTTTCTGGAGCATCTCTACCAAGAGTCCAACAGTAGTCTGCAAGTATGGAAGGATTCCACTTTCCCTGGTACCTTTTTTCCATTGTTGAAATATCCTGATGAAAACGTTCGCTGTGCTCATCACTTACGGCTCCGCAATTGTCAGGAAAAAAGTCCAGGTGTGAGTGTAGAAAATGTATCTTAACAGACATATTAAAGCCCATCTTTTGATACAATGACAGCACATTTTTGACAAGGGTTTTATAGTTGTCAGCTTTTCTATTTCCCAAGAAATTAGTGACCACCAGACGGAAATCATTCCAAGCAGTTTTTTTAATAACTGTTAAAGTGTTTTCAAACTGTGTATCTTTCAAAATATTTCGAATCTGTGGCCCAACAAAAATACCTTCTTTAACCTTTGCGTCACTTAGTCTTGGAAATTTCTGACGCAGGTATTGAAAAGCTGACCCATCTCTATCTAATGCCTTGACAAAGTTTTTCATTAGGCCCAACTTGATATGCAGTGGTGGTAATAAAATTTTTTTCGAATCTACTAATGGCATATGCTGTACATTTTTTTGACCTGGCTCTAGGAATTGACGAACAGGCCAGTTTTGTCTGGTGTAATGAAGTGCCTTTGCCCGACTGTCCCATTCACACAAAAAACAGCAAAACTTTGTGTAGCCTAACTGCAGCCCAAGTAAAAGTGCAACAACTTATAAATCGCCACAAATATGCCATTGGTGCTCATCGTATTTTATGCATGTCAATAGGTACTTCATATTGTCATATGATTCTTTCATGTGAACTGCATACCCTACAGGAAGAGATGGTAAAATATTTCCAATATGCAATAACACTGCCTTTAAACTCAATGTTGAACTGTCTATAAACAATCTCCATTCTTCTGGGTTATAGTTTATATTTAAAGCCGCCAGTAAGCCGTTAATGTTACTGCAGAAAACCAAGTTATATTATATATTGAAAAATGGTTCTAAGTCTTTGTGGCGTTTACGAAAAACACATACCGAAACATGGTCTTCTAACAAGTTCCACTGCTGCAGTCTTGATCCAAGTAACTCTGCCTTACATTTCGGAAGTTCTAAATCTCTTACAAGATCATTTAATTCTAACTGTGTTATTTTGTGCGGTTGGTGGCATGACGTGCTCGGTATAAAATCAGGATCTCTTGACGTTGATGGCATATCTTCTTCCTGACGAATTACTCGATCGCCATGATCTGATTCGTTTTCTGATTCGCAAGTGTAGGATTCTGGGGGTTTTGGAATAGGATTTTCGTTACTGTGAGGCCCAGGTCTCATCGCAGATGGTATGTTTGGGTAGTTAATAACCGATTTTTTTTTCTTGGACATACCTGTGGCTTGTCCAACACAAGGTACCATGCAAAAGTAACAATCATTAATATGATTTGTAGGCTCTCTCCAAACCATTGGGACAGCAAAGCGCATAGACCGTTTTTTGCCATTTAACCAGCTCCTCAGACTTGAAGGACATGTATTACAGCAGATGTGGGGTGCCCACTGTTTGTCTTCATCACCTAGTTTACAACCGAAATAAAGCTGATATGCCTTTGTTATTAGTGGAGTAATAGACCGTCTCTGAGACGCAAAAGTCACATCACCACACACGTAACAAAACTGATCTGGATTGTTTACACACTTTCGAGACATCTTGCATGAACGCTGTCAGTCAACTGAGGAAAAAATGGCTAATATAAAACAATATAATGTACACGTATGTATAACGTAACACAATCATGCCGATTACATCATCTTTCCCTGCCGAATATAAAAATGTAGCACGTGCATTCTTATGAATTACAGTATATTAACACTGTCACAGCAGGAACACATATAATTACCGTATCTCTAAAACTTGAACTAATATTGAAAAAATAAGTTTCATTCCGGTTTTAGCACATAAAAATAGTAATATTTTGTTGATTTTATTTAGGATTTTTTGGCTGTTGATCAGTGTAATTTATGTGGAGGTGAAGGTAGTTTTTACCCTTTTCGGATCCATGCGGGTTCTTTTTCAAATATTAGAACGTTTAGCAAAACATATGTGTTCCGAATTTCATTCAAATCGGAATATCGGTTCCACAAATATCTGAAAAGATGTGTTTTAATAAGAAAACTTCGACGCCCTCTGACGAAGTAATGAAGCACTTTTGCATAGAAGTAAATCAAGCCCAATCGACTTATTTTTTAGTGTAAAAATACGTGCTACTTCTACAGGGTGTAAACGTTATGATAGTCATTATTTAAGTGGGCAAAAAGTTTCATATAACATGTGGGTCAAACCAGCTTTTTTTTAAAGAAAAGCAACTTTAAAGTAAAATAAAATCTGAGTTGTGCTTCAGCTGTTATTGGACCAGCCCCATAAACCAGGGCTGTCCAACTTAATGTGGCCCGAGGGCCACTTAAAAAAAAATGTAGTTTGGAGGGCCGCATTATAAAATCTTTCTATACAACATTATTACTGAGTTTTAATAAAAATGATATACAAAAATAGTTTTTCTATTATTTTTTTTTTATTCAAAAAATATGAAATTACAAAAAAATCAGTGGGGCATTTCAGGATGTTGGTTTTCCAATACTAATGCATCAATATTAACATTAATATTTGTTGTTGATAAACGAAGTAACTGAGTAAGTGACTTATTAGAGAGGGAACATCTATACTTTGACTTGATAAATTTCATGTTGAAAAGCTGCCATCATTGATCCCATTGTAAGTCCTAAGTTTCGCAAGTTGGGGTATCGTTCTCCTGGCAGTAACTTAAAAAAGTCCAAGCCAGTTTCAGTTCTTCCTTGGTAAAAAGGATCTGATTACAAATCAAACAATTCCAGTTGAAGGTCTGCTCTGCTTACGTTCTCAACAGAAATTGTTAGTGGCTGAGTAAAATCTGAAATGTCGCTTTCGATTTTTTTAAAGTCACTAAATCGATTTTTGAATTCTTCTGCAATTGTGTCAATGTATTTTATATGAGGTAAATATGAAACTTCCTCAAAATCCTTCATTTCTTCGAAATGTTCTTTACAACTTGGAAAAAATGAAAAATCATTTTTTTGTAATGAAGAATTTTATTCTTAAACCCATTTATGTGTCCAAATAAGTTGGCAATATTCTGCTGTTTTCCTTGTAGCTTCAAATTCAATTCGTTAAGGTGAGATGTCATGTCTGTTAAAAATGCAAGGTCTGCTAAAAATGGTGCATCTGCCATTTGATTTTCCAGTTCCGTAGTGTCGGACTTCATTTTTAAGGAAAATAGGAATTTCCTTGCGTAGAGCGAAAAATCGTTGCAAACACTTTCCGGCGCTTAACCAACGAACATCGGTGTGAAGTAACAAGTCCCCATATGTAGCATCCACTTCGGCCAAAAGATCACGAAACTTTCTGTGAGTCAAAGCACGATTGCTTCCTCTAACAATATTAGTTATTTTAACAGCCACTTTCATGACATTTGTTTGACGTAAAGATTTTTCACATAAGCTCTCTTGGTGAACAATACAATGTATCATAGGACAGTTGATGCTGATTTGTTTCAATAGTGACAATACAGGAACATTTATCAAATCCCCCGTAGTCTGACACCAACTTATTCACAGCTTCAAAAATATCTGTACCCTTGGTTGTACCATGGAGAGGAATAAGGTCAAGCATCTCCTCTGCTACACTGACGAATAGTTCGAATAAAAATTACAAGCTGGCTAATGTCGGACAGATTAGTGCTTTCATCCAGGCATAGCGAAAAATATTTACATTTTTCAACCACGAGACGCAATTTTCTGGACACATGTTCATTGATATGGTCCACACCCGTCTTGCAATTGTTTGATGCGATGCTGAGACTGTTTCAAATTTTTCGGCAACTTTTAATTCATTGAATTGTTTCGCTATTTCTATTGCACACATTTTGATAAGCACTCATCACTAAAAGGTTTTTTGCTTTGGCAATTTCCAGCGCTATTTTGTAAGAAGCGGCAATACTGCACTTGTTATCAGAGTCAGATTTTTTGAAAAAACTTGTTTGTAGTGTAGTTTTTTCTTGTATTCCGTTATGATAGCCTGCATCGAGGCCCCTGAATATTGTCGAAACGTTTTCTTGTCTAACGTAGTGTAATGTCGTTTTGTAACGCTTCCTTTCCGCAAAAAGTCCAGAAAAGATGGAATGCAATGAAGATTCCAACTTTTCTGCACAATCACAGAAAGGGGGCTACCATTAGCTTCCGGTAGCTCAGTCGGTGGCATGAAGACATCTACAGGCGTGTAGCTGTGTGTCGACCATGGCATGGCTGGAGGATAGAAGAACAAACAGAACACAAAAATTTAACAGATTTTATTTAACAAAAAAAGGCATTTTCATTACATTACAATTTTACAAAAATGACAAAATAAGTTTTACATCTTTGGCGCTGCTATAACGCTATCGACTTATCTTTCGCTGGTCCATTTTTACTCGACTGAAGCCAGGATGGCCAGGGGCTTGAAGGGGAGGTCCCAGTTGTGAGGGGTGACCTCACATATAGTGGCTTCGTAACCAGTTGTAGGCGAAGTTAAAGGCGATGGCGCTGCCAAGGCACATGCATGGGTGAAAATATTGGCCAAGGCTAGGCAAAGTGAAAGGGAAAGAGAAAGGGGGTGGCCCCAATCATTTTTGTCCTATACGGACACACATTCTGGGAAATTCTAGCACATGGTGCTATATAACCTTGTGCTACTGAGAAGAAATTTCTAGCCGTTGTTCGATCGGCGGCTCAAGTGAAAAGGAAGCGCGAGGAAGATCGCAGATCAGGAACTCTGCATCAAGCGCTCCAAGCGGAAAATTTTCCAAGCAAAAAAAGCTAGAGATGGGATTAATGAAATGATAATCGAGAAGTGATTTAATAAATACGATCGGACGGTGAAACCGTTACAGTTTCATATTATATTCTTTAGGAACCGATAGTACTTGTATACAAACAATGCACTGAAGTTTATTATTATTGTTTGAGATTAAATATTCTGATTCCCAACGGTCATTATAAACTCGATGTTCGTTCGTTATTTTTCGTTTCTGTGAAGACATATTTCACGGAGTATTTCACTTAAAAAGGCTTTAGAGTTGCTGTGTACTGGAACGCACTAGCACTAGAACAAAACTGCCTGTCCCGCTAGATTCAACCTTCTTATATACGCGCCCGTGGCTTCTCGAATATTCGGGGATGATTGAGAGATCCGTCCAATTTCCAGTAAGGTCTCTGCGGCCTGCTATCGGTCGCCAGTGGCGTCACATGTTATTGTATTTTACCGTTAATGTATTGACGTTAATGTATGAATTGTGCATATTCGGTATTTGAGAGTAGGGCCGCAAGAAAGGAGTTCGCGGGCCGCATGCCATTTATTTGTTAATTAGCCAAAACGTTTTAGATTAGATTATAAAAATTAGTAAGATCGTGGTGATTGTGATCGATATGAGGCACTTAAAGTTGTAAACTATAAAGCCATTTAGACAAAAATCTATTGACTTTTTAACCATGGGTCATATGAACTTTTTGACTTGCTTTGATCCCACCTATTACCCATTTCCATAATGACTACCATAACGTCTCCACCCTGTATACCTACGAAATACTGTGACACCCTGTATATGAAACGCAGTTAGGTGCATTATACGATTATCCCTTATCTTTACATGCTCATTTGATGTGTGTGCAGGGCGTTAGCAGCGGCAGTGAATGCAGCAGATGATCTCGGCGCTGTCCAAGGCAATTGGTCTAACGATTTCGGTGGGGGTACTCCTCCGACAAAATGGATTGGCAGCAAGGAAATTCTACAGAAGTATTACAAGAAGAAAAAACCTGTCAAATATGGACAGTGCTGGGTTTTCGCGGGAGTTCTAACTACTAGTAAGTAACTAAATATTCTACGATCTCGAGCTCGACATGGATTTATATCAAAAATGTTGGTGGCTATTTGAATTTACAAATTTTTGTTTTCATAAGTAATGTGGTCGGGACGGTAACACCCCAGACGTGTGAGCGATACTCGAGGATAGGTCTTCTTAGCTCTAAACAAATAGCCTGGCTTTTGACGGGATGAGTTCGTGCCAGATCAAGTCCTCGGTGATCTGGACTCCGACCAGCCAAAATGAACGGCTCTTTGGCAGAGCTCGGCCATAAATTGAAACCGGACGAGCGCTAGGACCCCTTTTTGTTGGTCAAGGAACAATTCCGTGTTTTGGAAGGATTAAGCTGTACTAGATTGTTACGTCCCCAAACGGTGATAACCTGAAGGTCTCTTGTGAGAGAGGAGGTCGCCAGGTATTTTTTGAGGTCACCGATACCGTGGATCTTAAAAAAATGGCCTATCCATCCGACCTAGGTGACCTCAGACCTATCAACCTATTACCCATTCTGTCAAAAGTGCTAGAGGAAATAGTTAATTTACAAATTTCCACATATCTTGAAAAATACAATACGAGTAATATCCGACACCCAATACGGCTTTAGGAAGGATTATGGAACAGCCTGCGCTCTCCCCAATCTTCAGGATAGTGCCTTAAGTACAAAGATGGCACTCACTCTTGTATGTATTGACTACCTCTAAGTCTTTTGATAGTATAACCCATCAGCTTTTTATGTTTTATCAAACCAAATATTGTACTCAGAAAACAGGATAGGTCATTTCGGGCCTGAAGCAATACGTATCGCTCGGGTTACCTATCCTATTTTCTGCTCGAATCTACTTCCCTTCTTTTTGGGGATTTAGCCCATTATTTTCCTATTTTTGTTATATACCATTCTACGCATCATTTTCTTTATATATATATATATAGGTGAAAATTAAAGCTTCCGCCTTTTGTTGGGTACTTCGACAAAATTTAAGCAAGGAGGACTCTTTATACTTTTTTATTCCCTCTAGCTTTCAGTGGTCTTTGCCATCATCATCAGGAGCTGCAATTACATTGATAATAGTAGCAACAATTGTGTAAAATAAATTTAAATTAACTTACAGTAGTATGTGAGGATGTTGCTAAATGTTGTTTACGTTAAGGATGAGGGAAACACCCAGTAACATGGTGAAAGCTGGATACATGGTACAATGGTCAAAATTATACAAACTACACACAGCTGTATGACAAGAACAAATACAGCATACAGGTGTGTGTAGTTTGTATAATTTTGACCATTGTACCATCTATCCACCTTTCACCATGTTACGGGGTGTTTCCCTCATCCTTAACGTAAACAACATTTAGCAACATTTCACATACTACTGTTACTGTAAGTTAATTTAAATTCATTTTACACAATTGTTGCTACTATTATCAATGTAATTGCAGCTCCTGATGAAGATGGCAAAGACCATTGAAAGCTAGAGAGAATAAAAAAGTATAAAGATTCATCCTTGCTTAAATTTTGTCGAAGTACTCAACAAAAGGCGGAAGCTTTAATTTTCACCTAACTGGTCTAGACGACAATGACCACGTCTCAAGTTATATATATACAGGATGTCCGCAAAGTTGGAGTTTTCCTTTACACGACGTGTAGATCTTGAAAACATAAGCAATTTTTCTTAGTACCATATACACCAATGTCTTAAGGGAATCGAGATAAAGGGCTCTGCAACATCAAAAATATCTGAATACCGTCCTGTAGCCGCGACATCACCGACTAGTACAAGGTCACTGGCTCAACCCGTCGACAGAACTGGGTCGGGGTCAGTGTGTCAGGTCAGTATCCAACCTTCAACCGACGGTTACGGTCACGCGTGTAGAGGTAATCGCGTAGACGAGAATCCCTCAACAAGCACTAGAGGCGTGGCTAGAGAAGTGCAAGTATCAAAAACTAAAGTGTGGCAAACGCTGCGTGAAGAGGGGCTGTATCCGTTTCACGTCCAACGTGTACAAGCCCTTCAACCTGACGATTTTCCAGCAAGAGTGCGGTTTTGTGAGTGGTTGTTGCATCAACATGACAATAATCCGGACTTTTTGAAGTGCATATTGGTGACCGACGAATCTACGATCACGCGTAATGGGGTGAATAACTTTCGCAACACTCATGTTTGGTCAGTAGAAAATCCGCACGCTGTCCGTCGGGCACATTTTCAACAAACATTTTCGGTGAATGTTTGGGCTGGCATGGTGAACGGTATGCTCATTGGACCATTTATTCTCCCACATCGATTGCACGGGATGCAATACCTAGACTTATTACGCAACATTTTGCCTTCCTTGTTAGAAGATGTGCCATTAAGTGTAAGACAATCAATGTGGTTTCTGCGTCTGCTCGGTAGCGCATCAGCTGATTTCATTTTCTGTTGGAGCGGTATGATTTCGGGCAGAGACGTACTTAGCCCTTCTTGTCAACTGGAGAGTGAGTACTTTTTCCTTTATTTTTTTTTACTTGGTCGCCCTCGTTTCACTACACATTACCTTTGTTATTTCAAGGGTAGTTGTTTCTGAAAAGGAAAAACCCAACTTTGTGACACCCTGTATATATATATATGAGATGAGCACTAGTCATTGCCATTGCCAACGACCAGTTGGGCAAAAAATTCAATTAATTGTTAATTGGGAAATCGGCAAACTTTTTAGGCTTTAGTAAACTCTTTTGACGGTAATCTCGAGCTTTCGGCTTCGCTATGGAGCCATCTTCAGGAGCTGAAAACACAATTATGATGCTAGCAACCAATACGGGAAAGATTTAAATTGTCAAGCAACTTACTCGTCGTTGAGGTTGCAGCCAAATGGTGTTTCAAAACGAACGCGTGGATGAGAGCACTTGTAACCTTCGCTAATCTGTTTCTAAATAAAGACGACTGACTATTATTATTGATGAATTATTATTGTTATTATTATTATATTTCAACCATCAAAAGTCCGTTTTTTATATAATTTTCAGTTTGCAGAGCATTAGGAATCCCAGCTCGACCAGTCACAAACTACTCTTCGGCGCACGATACTCAGAACTCATTGACAGTAGATTACTTTGCCGATGAAACCGGTGCAATGGTAGAAGAGCTCAATTCTGATTCGATCTGGACGTATCACGTGTGGACCGAAGCTTGGATGGAAAGACTGGACTTGGGCGCTCATTACGGCGGTTGGCAAGCTATCGATGCTACGCCCCAGGAGCTCAGCGGTGAAAGTTACAAGTAAGATATTCGTACAGTGAGAAGCAAATTTGTCCGCCGGCTTGAGTTTTTTTTTATACTCCAACAACCACGAAGGTCTAAGGCCTAAACACCCATTGGGTACCGTGGGGCTATAAGGGGACACAGGGGAAAGGGGGAACGCCACGCGGACTCTGGCGAGGGAACACGTGTGCATGCAACATGCACACATTCTGGCTCCTACGCCTACGAGATCCCCCGAGTGGTACCTCCGCGTTCGACAGTCAGAAACCGTCTACCACCTACGGACAATCACAACATCCATAGCCAAGAGAAAAATTTCTCCTGGGACGGGACTCGAACCCGCACAGCGCACGGCGACTGATCAGGAGACCGAAGAGTCTACTACTGCGGCCACCGCTGCTGCCTAAGTTCAATGTGTACGAGAGAAGAGTGTGTATAGACACATATGTTAGAAAGAGATAGAAGTCACCTGGATAGTGAAGCTCAACACCGCGTTACCTAGCAACACTGATGCGGGAACCTGCCGCGTTGCCAATATGTTACCCCACTTCCTTGAGTTAAGGTGCAAATTGAAAGTAACTCAGGATGTGTTGATTTTATCACCATGAGTCAAAATCAAAGACAATTCTAATCAAAACTGAAACACTGTCAGTCATTAACGAAATGACAAGAGTAGAGGGAAACAGTGGGAGTTGTATAGATCATATGTTTATAAATTCACGTTTAGAACTTGACAAAATATATTCAGCAATTCTAAAATACAAAATTTCTGACCATTTTCCTACTTTGCTCAAAATCGATCTTGAAAGTACATCAACCAAAATTGAAAAGACAGTGAATAATACAAAAATTTACATTGATTATGAAAAACTAAATAACAACTTACTCAATTGTAGTATATAACGAACCTAATATTGAAAATGCATTTGTCCTTTTTATATCTAGCATTGAAGGCCATATTGCTGAATGCACCAAAACACTAAAGATTCCACGAACACAAATAAAAAGACAAGCATGGTTATCGAAAGGGATTACTACCTCCATTAACAAAAAAATAGAATTATATAAGGAAACCAAAAAATATCCTTATGATGTTAAACTTTTGAATGAATTTAAATCATATCGAAACAGACTGACAAAAATAATTAAAGAGGCTAAAATTAAATATCTCCAAGAAGAGTTTGATAATCTACAAAATTGTTCGTCCAAAATGTGTCAATTTATCAATAAAATACAAGGCAAAAAGCAAAACAACAAAACTAGTACAATTAAAAAAGAAAATGGTGAACTAGTGAGTAATGATATAGATATAGTAAATGACTTTTGTGAATATTTTTCAAAAATCGGGAAAAGGTTGTCAGAAAGCATAAAAAACGCAGAGAAATTAAATTATAGTAAGACTACATTATATAACTCATTATATCTGGAACCGACCGATACGCATGAAATAAAGACAATAATCAATGAATTGAAATTAAGAAAATTTCCAGGTCTAGATAATATAACAGCGTATACTCTCAAGAGAATAAATTGCAACATCTGCGGCATACTGTCATATTTGATAAATTCTTGTATGAATAAAGGAATATTCCCTTCATGTTTAAAACACGGTATGGTAGAACCATTATTTAAATCTGGAGAAAGAGAAAAACCCATCAACTATCGACCAATTTCCATCTTAACAAATTTTTCTAAAATATTTGAAAAAGTGTTAAAAAAACGATTCACCGAATTTTCAAAAAAATATAACTTAATAGCGGAACAGCAATATGGTTTTCAAGAAGGCAAATCTACTCAAGATGCTATTGTAAAATGAACAAGTAAAATATACACGAATCTCGATATTGGCAAACCAACTGCTAAGAAATATCTATATAATCTATATTATGCTCTTGTGTATCCTCTATTACTTTTTTGGAATTTTGATTGAAAGTTGATGTAATCCAAAAATTAATACTAAAATTGATCGTCCATAGGGAGATTACTTATTCAAGTGATTTTCTATATATGGAGGCTCAGCTATTAGATTGCAGACAAATTTATTTTTATTGTGGTCTAATACGTTATTTCAAATATTCGAAATACTTTAATCGTACCATTCATAACTACCCAACAAGATTCAATCAAAATTCAATGTGTATTCCACAAACATCAAAAACCATTACACAACGATCTCTGTTTTTCTTGGGACCAAAATTCTATAACTTCATACCAGAGTCATTGAAAGTAATTAAATCAATCATTTAAAAAAGAACTAAAAAAATGGATTTTACAACAACCAAGGTACTCCATCCACGAAATTGTAGATCTGAAAAATCATTAATCAATAATTTTTTTATCATTAATATTTTAATCATTAAAATCAATAATATTTTACTTACACTAACATCCATACTTTTACTTTAGTTCTAATTGTCTGGATATTTTTCCTGACATTACCATAATAATTCACCAAATTATACAGTATTAACGGGTTTTTTTTTCATACACTGACTGTACTATTAGTTTTTATTTTGTACAAACCCAAACACAAGTGCAAACTTTTTTTGGGTGCTTTGTTTATTGTGCACAATATTTGATATTTACTTGTATTTTGTGACAATAAACATTATTATTATTACTAAGTCGCTTCTTGGGTTTGACAGTAACCTAACCTATTAAAGCTTGTGCGAACATTTTCTGGTGTGACATATTGGCAATGCGGAGATTGCACGATCTTTTGCGTCACCGTTGCTAGGCAATGAGGCGATGACCTTGGCTTGTATCTCTTTCTAGCATATGTGTCTATAAATACTTCTCTCTCGTACACATTGAACTCAAGCCGTCAGACAAATTTGGTTTTCCCTGTATACAAAAGGTTACTGACAAAAAGATACTTCAACTTATACAGGGTGTTTCAATTTATTTTTGCATAACATTAAGATTCGATAGAAAGCCTATATAAACATGTGTCGAAAAATGCGTGGCTTCCGAAATACAGGGTGTTTAAATTTACTTTCTAAAATAGTTTTTTTTAAATATTTCGAATAATATTTGATGAATAACAGTGAAAATTGGTATACAAGGGTTTTTTGGTACGACAAAACGAACCATGGTTAAGGTTCGATGCATTTTTAATTATTTATGATAAAATAACGTTAAAAAGTCAGTATCTCCATAATTTTTAGAAGTAGGCTGTGCCTGCAAATATTTTTGAAATTGAAAGCAGAATAAGCTTAAACGTCAATTAGTTGACAGTTAGTTTTGTTGTCTGTTGAAACCTGAAACGTTTTTTTTGCAATTGTGAATGCACGAAATTTAGTTTCTTTTACCTGTTTTTTTTGTAAGTTTTATAAAAATGCCATTTTTATTCTCCAATCAAGAGTTAGCGGATATTCATTTTGTGTATGGCTTTGTAAATGGAAACGCAGCAGAAGCAGCCAGAGAATACGCACGAAGATTTCCAAACAGACGACATCCAACTCGCTCAGTATTTGTAAGAGTGCATCGCCAAATAATTGAAAATGGTTTTAGAAATCTCCAAATGGATCAAAACATAAATGTTCGTCAGCGCAGATTTACCCGTATGATTCTGCGTGAGTTTGATAGAGATCCGAGCACAAGTGTTAGGAGAGTTTCTGGTGCCTTGGGAATTTCAGCAAGCCATGTTCACCGTGCTCTTAGAAATGACCATAGACGTCCTTACCATTTGCAACCTGTGCAAGGACTACAGCCAGGGGAAGGAGAACGAATAATCACATTTTGTCAGTGGATTCATGATAGAACTGATAATAATAGGGAGTTTAAAACTAACGTTTTATGGACCGATGAGTCATGCTTCACTAGACGTGGAGTGGTAAATTTTCATAATCAACATATTTGGTCGCATGAAAATCCGCATGCAGTTCGGGAAAGAAATTTTCAGCATGAATTTAGTGTGAACGTGTGGATTGGTATCTACCGTAGTCGACTATTTGGACCCTCCCTACCTTTTGCCTGCAAGGTTAAATGCTGCGACCTTCTTGGAATTTTTAAAGGCTGAACATGCAAATATGTGGGATGATGTTATGTTAGATTTAAAAAGATTAGCCTGGTTCCAGCTTGATGGTTGTCCAGCTCATTATTCGAGAATAGTTAGAAACTGGCTGGACGAAAATTATCCAGAAAGATGGATCGGCCGTGGAGGACCAGTCGCTTGGCCTCCACGATCCCCTGACCTAAATCCATTAGATTTCTTTGTGTGGGGATTTCTAAAAGAAAAAAAAAACACAAGAGATATGCTAATAGACAGAATCAGGAATGCATGTGATGAAATAAGGCCTTATTTGAATAATGCTATACCACGTTCGATCATTCGTAGATGTGAATTGTGTATTGAACAATTGGGTTTACATTTCGAGCAACTACTTTAGATTTTGCATGTTTGTCCTTACTATCCAATAGCATTTTAGTTGTAAATAATTAATTTAATTTGTTGAAATTAATATTGGAAAATTAAACAAATTAATATTCTGTTTTTTTTGTGTTTATTTGGAGTTAGGAATTATTGCTATGTTTAAAAACACAATCTAAACGATCATCTTAATTACTTGTAATGCCCAAATCGACAATGTAAAAAAAAATATTATTTTCCCATAAATAATTAAAAATGCATCGAACCTTAAAAATCGAAATATCTCAAAAACTGCTAACTATAACGAAAACTCACAGGAGAGATTTTTTATGCAGAAAAGTGCGAAGAATCAGTTTTTTATTCAAAAAGCAAAACATTGCACTAAGAAAAAATTTTCGGTCCTTTTAATACACTACAGGTACAGTAGAGAGCGCCCTCTAGCGGCTACAGTAAAACTATGCCTATGGTTCGTTTTGTCGTACCAAAAAACCCTTGTATACCAATTTTCACTGTTATACATCAAATATTGTTCGAAATATTAAAAAAAACTATTTTAAAAAGTAAATTTAAACACCTTGTATTTCGGAAGCCACGCATTTTTCGACACATGTTTATATAGACTTTATGCATTAATTTCAAAAGTTCT